GATTCTATAGTATTCTTGATGCATATGACTTATTGGATACCTCTTCTGATATAATAGAGTTAGAAGACCTACCAGGCATTGTTGATTCAATAGTAGAAGATCTTAATAACTCTGTAACTCGCTTGCTTAGTATGATTCTTGCAGAGGCGATAAAAAAGAATAGTATCTTTGCCAAGCCTTCTAAACCTCAAAAAGGACAGAAATCTGTGAGCGGACCTGCCGTCAGCCTGAAGGATGCTTTGAACATTGGAAAACTAGGAAGCGTCTTCCTTGTAAGGTTTGTGATAAGCCGACTAGCTCTGAACCTGGGCTTTGTAGAAAGCATGCTAATGGGTATTATGTAACCCAATATATTAATAGGCTTCGGGATAGGGCTTGCCATGAGATGCTTCGTATAGGTACTTATCTAGAAGTTTGATATGTTAACCTTCTTTAAAAAATTTTTACTTATCCCCTTTTACACCTGAGGTTAGATTTTTTTAACCTTATGTTTGCGTAATGCAAATGGCTTTAAAATGGTTTCTTGTATATTAAAAAATATTAGTATACTTGAATATGTTCTATAGCTTTTTAACTTTCTTGTACACATATAAAAATCTACACTTAATCTGAAAAATTTACACCTAGCCCAAATTTTTTAAACCAGAGGTTAGACTTTTTGACCTCAGATTTATGTAAAGCAAATAACTTCAGAATGGTTTTTTGTGTATCGAAAAAATAATGATATACTAGAATATATTCTATAGCTTTTTAACTTTCTTGTACACATACAAAAAATTTACACCTAAGACATACTTAGGTGTAAATTTTTTACTTTGCTAGATGATAACGAATTCCTTTTAGAATTAATTCTAGAATAGCATAAATATTAATATAAATAGAAGGTTTGCAAAGACTCTACGAGCTTAGCTTTGAACCTTCGATTCTTGCCAATCTCGCATCGCCTCAAACCCAAACAGAATGGTATATTTTTTTTGATATATTATTTTGGGATTAAAATTAGGCTAGAAAGGCTATAAGAGATTGTTTTATTCTTGGTATCGTGCGGGGTAATTTAATATCAAATTGATACCAAATATTTGGATAGCGAGAAAAGCTTAAATTTGGACTAGAGCTTTAAATTCAATAAAGGATTCGTATAGCTAGAAGGCTTTGAAAATATGATTGGGATTATTCCTTAATATAATTTCGAATTCTGACCCTAGAACCCTCATTTTTGCTCTACTATTTAAAGTTATATTTTTTATTAATACGATAATATTCAGAATTTCGTGACCATTTTAATATGTCGATCCAATATGCATCTCTAACAAGTGTATATCCTTGCTGATATAATAATTTTCCAACAAGTATGTGTGATACTATATCTAATCGTATTCATAATTGGGCTTTCTTCTCAAATATTCATCCATTTTTCGCTGAAGAATAATATTCCTCATACCAAATTTGTCCTGAAGGATTATATCCTTCGTTTTTCATACCTAAATACTTCTTATCGTTAGAAGTACCATTATTTCTCACTATCTTCCAAATTCATTTTACCAAAGATTCGGGTCTTTTCTTGTAATTCCTATAAGCTTGCTGAATAAGTATTGCATAGAAATTTTCAAAGCCATAATTATAGTAGTATTTAGGAATCAAGAATCCCCAAGATCGCTTCATTGATCTTTCTGAATAATACTTTACTAAAATAGTTATACAATATATTGGAAGATCTAATCTGGAATAGGCAAATCAGGTTTTTTTCATATATATGAAGCATTTCACAATTATACTAGGCGAACATACATGCAGATTATATAGCTATTCATTTCGCAAAAAAATAAATTGATTTATTGTATTATTATAATAATTATACATACAGTAAATATGAATATATAACATACTATTTTAATAAAGAATCTATAGTCTGAAAAATTCATTGCACATACTCACAATTATTATTCGAATCTGAGAAATCTATAGTAGTATACTTTCTATTGATACTAATATTTTCAGTTTTATAATAGTTAATATCTAGTAAATTATATTGATAATATTTGCCTGCCAATTTATACTTATATTGTGCATATTCTGAACTTCTAATAAAGTTTTCATTATCATTATTTAGGTATTTGTCAATATGATAATATTCAGGATTTGATAGCCACTTTAACATATAAGACTAATCACCATATTCAATGATTCTATATCTTGCAGATGTAATTCTATAAAAGAAACTATGTATGCTACATTATTTAATCGTCCCATAACTGTTCTCTCTTTTTTTCTGCCCAGTTTTGTGAAGTATAATGATCATATAATATAGGAAGATTCTGATAATGTGCAGGTCTATCTTTAGCTTGAATTCTATCTCCACAATTAATTCCTGCTAGAAGATAACTGGGATCCTATATATAGTTTATATATCAATCATCAGGAACTCTTATTTTATCAGGAGTTATATCTAAAAACTTCTTCTTATCAGGAGTACTATCATTTCTCACCATATTTCAAACTTGTTTTGCTTAAGTTTCAGATCTTAACTTGAAAGCTCTCCAAGCCCGTTGGATAACTTTTGCACTTTCAATTAAATGATTTACAACCCTTTTCCTATCTTCAGATGAATAGTGATAACTAAATTTAGTCCAGCATTTACTTAATGTAAAATAATATGTTCGATAAATCTCATCTATCTCGTCAGAACTAAGCGATAATACACTCTTTCAGCTTAGCGCTCCTCTTTTTTTCACACTTTTCTGTACAGGTTTAGAATATACAATCCGCCTTTTGACTGTTTTAGCAATACATTCATTTAGGTAAATATTTGCACATTCAATGCTATTTTCACGGATAAACACCAAGGAGTCACATATAGTGCAATAAATATGAAATGAGCATCTCCCAGCTTTAAATTCCCTATCTTTATATGATCTTTCATCATTTGGATAAATCCATTCTTGGAGAAGTATTTTGGGTTATATTCAAGAAGTTTTTTAAATGGAAAACGAATATGAGAACACCACATTTCTGGCATTTCACCACTATACCTATATTGCAGATTGTTTAACGCCTGTACTACTATAGAATTTAAACTAGAATAGTTAGTTTTAACCATTTTTATAGTTTATAGCAGTTTATAGTAATTTCAAGTATATTATAATAAAATATCATATTCATTTTTATTCGATTATCCCCTTGTTCAAAGAACTTCGGGGTGAAAGTAGATTTATAACTGTTTTTTTTTCTGACATAATGGTTTGGTTAAAATAGATCCGATCGCTATAGATGGCTAAATTATAAAGTTTGTATCAGTTTCCAGCACTTTCTCGCAATCTTTCCGCACGAGATGAACGGCTAATCAGATTTTGGATTTTTTTTTTTTAGCCAGGTAAGCATAACGGGAATTTGAGAAAATGATTACGAATAAAATGCTCGTCAAAATTGCGCAGAAGCAGGATTAGCATCCAGCTGTGCATATGACTAGCTTGTTCAGGCTCATCAAAATTGTAAAGAAATTGCGCAGTACATTTATATCAAACCAGATTTCGGCAATTACATAATCTTTTTCATCCTCTCTTTATGTAATTTATAAATCATGTGTGCGTTACAATTTGTAACATCACATACACGAAATCCATTTTTATTTTTTTCGAAACAATAAACCTAAAGCTTCATTAAATTTGCTAATCATTTCTTGCTATATATTTAACCTGATAACTAAATATTTTGGCTTTCTTCCTTAATTATATAGCAATAAGAATTAAAAAAGCTTGGAAGCAGAAAAAGATACTTCCACTACAATAACATTTAAAGAATTTATGTACTTTACAATTATTGGTTTTTATAGTTATTTTAATCAAGCTAACAACTGGAATGTCTGAACTTCTACGTGTCTTTGGTGTGATTGTTGGATCACAGGAAAAGCTATTATTGCAAGAAATGTTGTCAGATAATCTCTTATTATTTTCACTAGAATAAAAACTATCAATTCGACACTGGATAACAAACAAAAAAAAAAAGATAAGTATATGGAAACTCAAAATTTTTTGACATTATCAAAAAGAGATTTACCTTGAAATAAAATGGTTCTACAATTAATTTTCTCACGAGGTTAAACTCAGAAAGTTTTTGAGCGAGTTTAATTTCGGAGAGTTAAAAGTATTGGTAAATCCCATCATACTCTAGATCCATCATTCCCAAATAGATATAACCTTCTATAATGTTTTAACAGAAAGTGAATTAGAAAACTGAAAACGAACCGGAAACTCAAAAAAAGTGTAAAAAGTAGATTTACCACAAATATGTTCTTCAAAGGACTTAAGTTTTGGTGCATTTTCACGTGAAGAAATTATTCTGTTGATCCTCCTGGCAAAGGATGGCTACTTTATAACGATTGTAGCCTCCAATTTTGCTATTTCTCATGACTGAGAGATGTTTGGCTTCTACGAAGCATGTTTCTTCACGTTCAACTTCATATGTTTCTTCCTTTTCGCCTTTTTCATAACTCGATATATTGTAATATCCGGTTTTCTGCCTTTGGAACATCCGTAAGTCATTCGGTGCTCTCTTGAAGATAGACTTTCAGTGTTTTTCCTGTTAAATAAAAAACAAGTAAAGATAAAGAATAATGTCAATGATTAAATACAAAAAATCTCAAAAATTTTATTACCATATAATCTCATAATTCGGATCACGGAACATTTCTTTAAAAGCGTCATGTACATAGTCATATACAAATGTATCCTCATTTTTGTTTCTTGAATCTGGATACATGTGCATTCTTTCAAAACTTGAAGGAAAGATCATATAGATAGTTATTGGAAAGAAACGGCAAGAAAAATACAAGATTGAAATCTAAGAATCTTACAATGTACATGTAACTGCTTGGATAGTTTCAAACAAACGCCTCTCATTATCTGAATAAATGACTTTGTCACGATATTTCCCCTACATATCATAGAACTTAGAACGAAGTTCATCTATATCATTTACCTCCTATTTTTGATTGCAAAAAGATATTTAGATTATAATTATCATAGGTCTGCATGTACTAAACACATGACAATACTGCTTCATATTCGTCCATTATTTCTCCGAGGAAACTGAGTGGAATTTATTGCTTTGGATGACGTATAGAAATACGCCATTTTCGTTCATCATCTATATCTAGATACGGAGGTTTTTTCATCGTTGTTGAGTCAATAAACATGATATTATGAAGGGACCTGTAATACAAAGAATTTGTTAGATAATTAGATGTCCTTAAGACATAAATCAATCATACTTACAAGATCGCCTCACTGTTTGATGAAAAGTTAAAAGTTTCGCCAACCACTAATTTATCAATATTACTAATTTGATATTTGCAAAATCCATCTGAAACATTATAAACCACTAAAAGGGCAAAGCAATAATCAATACAGAATTTTTTTTTCCTGAAACTGATGCGGATTCGTGGTAAACTTATATCCTTCTGTGAAGAATAGTCACATAGATCCAAACGTATTCTCAGATATCTGTCACGCATTATTTCTGTGTCAGTCATGATATCCCCATCCTGCACATATAGATTAAGTTAGTCATTGGAAAAGCAAAAAATATCTGTTTTAACGATTCATCATTCCTATAACTTGTTCATTTACCTCATTTACAATTATCGAAGGAATTGTTTTTGTGTCTTCTAGTTCCTAATTAGAAGGAGACGATGATGATTCTTCGTCATTATCGTTACAGGTTGATTTCACTTCCATCTCATTAGCGGTACTAATTGTTCTGATCTGTGCACATATTCGAAAGGTGAGAAGACATTTTTTATCGTATTAAACGCAGGTGAAAATACAACTATCTTATTTTCTAAAGTTTCTTGTGCCTGTGTAATGGGTTCCTCATTAAAAACTGAATCAGTTGTCAGCGAAGGTAATTCTTCCACTTCAGATGGAGATGGTGAGTACGATGATCTAGACTGAATTAAAAATTTGATATATATCAGTTATTTTCAACCAATATAAATACATGAACTTGTGTGAAAACACTACTAAAATTGTATCGTTACCTTTTTGTGGGTGGTGCCAGTGTCACTTTGTCCTTGTCTTTTCGCTTTTTCTCTGTAGAAGCTTCCAATAATTCTTCGTCTACCTTATATTCTTTTTGCACTCTAATAACATCAGCACCACCAATTGAGACATGTTTGTTTCGAACTTGTTCAAGCAACTTGTAATCATGTTCCTACGTTTTTCACATTTTACTATTGAATCCCAAAATGAAACGATTTCCTTGGACTGACATGATATATTGAGTTAATTCACATTTTGCAAAAGGGATACTAAATAAATTAGGAAATTATAACTTACAGATAGCTCTTTCAACAACTTTTTTGCATGATCCTGAGCGAATTGTGGTAGATCTTAGTTTTCACTTAATGAATTCAGGAGTTTCGTGTAAATTCCGTGAATCGATCTCTGTTCAGCACTCCTTAGTTTCTGCTCTAAATCGAGCTGACGCAGAAACTCAATGAATGTGCGGGTTGTGAAAGGAGCTGATGAAAAGTAGTCATACATATCTTTAGGAGGAATCGTGAACTAGAAAGGTAGAAAATATAGGGTTAATTTCTTCCAAAAAATAGAGTTGATCACAACAATAGTAAATACTTACTTTTTTTGATTCCATATTGCTTTGTTATTGCTGAAATGTTAATGTTTACCGGTTGACCTTAAATTTTGAAAACAGAGAATATTTTCACATATTATTGTACACGTATTATTAAGTTTTGTGTAACAATATGATTGTAACACTTTTTTCACCTCACGTGATCATAGTAAAATATTTGTCACACTGATGTTAATATAAAGATATTATCACTGGTACGGTCTTAAGGCATTATTAAAATAGGCTGGTAATTTAGGTATGCTACAACATGTATTTAAATTACAATTTACCGACATGGTAGCATTTCTGCAATTATGGAAATTATGTAAAATTATGCACACATAATATCATTTTGTGAAATTATGTCTGGTAATCTTTAATCACATGATAAAATTTTTCTTGAAACAATGATATTCCCATCATGCGACATGTCGCATATATGTTAATGAGACAATTTCTTTTGAAAAATTGCTTTCGAAAATTTTACGGGTCCCTGGTACAGTACTATGCATGATCTGGTGGTCTGCGACATGACTGCACTCAGAACTCTTCTAATCAAGACTTGATCAAAAAAACTCAAAATGAACAGGACTCTTGGGGAGCATAGAACTGGTTGTTTACAATATTCACGATGATTTGTTTCCATTTGGTGATGCCCTCGTGTGTGCAACCCTTCTCCTTTTAGAGAAGCTGATTGATAACGCCTCTTCTTTGAGAATATGGAGCTGGTTGTTTACAACATTCACGACGATTCGTTTTCATTTGGTGACATTCTCGTATGTGCAACCCTTCTCCTCTTGGATAAGCCAGTTGGTAACTCCAGGCCCCTTTCCATAACTCCAACTTCCCCAAGAATGGTTTCACTTCAAAATTTAGCGTAAACTTTATTTTCTTTGTTAAGTTTCTGATCAATAATAATTATAGGTTTTTTTAAGATAATAGGACTTTCGATTCTCTTTTATATCTACGAAAATTCTCCACAATTAACATGTTTTAATTGAGTGAATGAAATATATGATGCTATCAAAGAGGGAGGGAGTACGCAGATCCTAGGCCATTTAATGCGAGTCCCAGCATCAAGTTATTTCTTTGCTCTCATATTTTTGAAAAATATCTATATAACTAATTTATTTCTATTACTATAGCTAACTACAACCCCATAATCTTTACACTAGAATTCTGAAATAAATTACACCGCTTATATCTACAGAATTTTCGTCTATCTACATCACTCCCACTCACACAGACTATGTAATAGATTATTTCCTGCAAGAGAATTTCCCTGAGATGAAATAATTTCGAACTTGTATGAAGAATTCTGAGATTAGCGTTGGAGAAATAAAACAATGTAAGACTTCCGATTTACACTTATCGCTATACTTCATTTTCACAACATTCCATTCTTCTAGTTTTTCTATTTTATGCAGTTTATTCTGGTCTAAGAAATTCAAAAAGATAATATATTCATATAGATGTATAGTAATAGTATTTGAATAACTTTTTGATGTATATTAATTAAATTATTAGGTCTTTTATTTCCTCTATAAACTTTCCAAGATAAAAAGCATTTATCAATATTAAAACATGATTATTTATTTACTTAGCTCTTTGCAATATTTAATTTATAAGAGAGAATTTTATTTTTATGAGTATAGTTTTATTATAAGGTAGAGGGTATATTTCAATATCTTGAAGTATGATAAGTTGTAAGTCAGCATATATTGTTTGAAATTTTGAGAAAATATTTCAGTTTTTAATTAATATAATGGGTTGAGATATGTCATATTAGTAATATTGCTTTAATTTATTACTATTAATAGATGTTTTTAGGATCTTTCTATTTAATATTATTACGGTCAATTCTTTAAGATGCTTATGAGTGATAAGCAAAGTAATATTTATGGGTGGTAAGCAGAAGGTTTAATTTGATATTTAGATTTAGAAGAGTGTCAGTAAATTAACAGTTTATTTAATAACTATAACAATGGAGTACTGCCTCAGTCAGCGCTCTGTACTATACAATTATGTTAAAGGGATTAAACTAAACTATTATATAAAACTATATGTCAGACATACTGCTAAGCTAAAAGAAATAGTCCTCTATTTATATAAAATGTAAAATATAAAGTTATCGAAGATAAAATAAATAAAATATAATAAATATATGAGATAAATAAAATAAAATAAATAAAAGAAATATATTGTATAAAAGAAATATATGCTATAGACGACATAGATGACATAAAAGACATGTATGATTTCTTAGGGATCAACATCATCCTTTAAATCATCATCATCCATGTTTTCTTTCGTGTAATAATATTCTCAATTTATACATACTATTTCTAAAATTATTATAAATATAGTATGATTTCTTTCATTTTTTCTCAAGCTTCTTTTTATCCTGTAAATTACTTTTATACATTAAAACTAATTCTCCAATTTTAAAATTTTGCTTTTCTTTTAACTTACAGTCATATTGCTTCTTTTATTTCTTTAGGAGTTTTAAATATTATCTTGTGCTTATTATACTTTTTTCTAGTTATTTGTTATACATAATTGATTAAATCTTTCTGTTGTCTAATGTTATATTTTATATATTTGATATTTATACTTAAAAATTGATTAATAATGTGGTATTTCTCTTATATGTTAAATAAAAAGGTTTATATTGAGTAGTATTATGCCTTTTTGTATAATATGCAAACAAAGTACCAAGAGAGGACAAAAATATTACACAGTTTTATTTTAGCAATAAAATTTTTTTATCAGGATAGCAGATCATTTTTTTTATATTTACAAATAACACATCAATATTTAATATATTCTTCTTTAGTATCGATTACTGCCTAAATTCTATTTAGCATTAATCATATCAAATTATGATACACTTTTTGTGGTATCATTTCTTAAACCTTTTTTACTATCTTTTCAAGTTCACAAATACTTAATGGCTGAGGGTTATGTTTTCAAATTTCTATCTCAACTACAGCCATAAGTTCTTAATTGGATTGAGATCAGGACTTTGAGCAGGTCATGAAAGCATCTCTACATTTTGAGAATGCAAAAACTCTCATGCAATCTTCAATGTGTAAACTGATGTATTGTCTTCCTGAAAAATGAATTTTTTTTAGTTTTCTGAAAAAATGTTTTGAATATGAGAACTGCATAAGTAAAAAATACCTCTTTATATACATTTCCAATTATTGAATCTTCAAGTGGAATAATGGGACCTAATATTAAAAAGGAAAAATATGCTCAAAACATTTTTTAAGAAGAATGTTTTACTGTTAATATAATGCAATCTTCATTAAATTTTTTTTCTGACTTTCTTTATACTCTTCCTTATTCAGTTTTTTGAAACTGTGAAAATGTAGACTCATCTGTCTAGACTATCTTTTTTCAGTCTTCTACAGTCTAATATCTTCTTTTTATTGCCTATGCAAATCGTTTGTTTTGTTGATTGCTGAGATAAGAGGCTTCTTTTGAAGAATACAGAAATATACATTTTTCTTGTAAAATGCATGACAAATTATTTTTGTAGAGACTGACTTATTAATTTTAGCAAAAAATATATTAGTAATTTCTACTAAACTTTTTTATCTTAATTCTTTATTTTTGAGAACCATTGCCTTCAATCTTTACCTTTTTTGGCTATCGATTAAGCAGGGTTGATTTGGTCATTTTTAGAAAGTGCTTCTGATTCATAAGCTGCAAGACACCTTGTAACGGTTGTTCAATAATATCTTATAGCTTTTGCAATCTCTATATTATTGTAACCTAATTTTTTGGCTACAATAATGCTTCTCTTTTGTATAGGAGTTAACTTTTTAGCGAGACTCATCACATGCGTAAAGTTAAAAATAGTAGAAATGTTTAAACCTGATTTTTACAATCTTTAATATATTAAATTAAAACAATAAATAAATATAATCAACTCTCTCTAAATGCACCCTCTCTAAATACATATACTATATATTTTCTTTCTAAATGTACGCTCTTGTTTAGTCTCAAGTATATAGAATTCATATATAAATTTTCTCTTTAAATGCATACCCTCTTTAAATACACATTTTTTAAAATTTTCACTATAATCCTGAGAGATGCATTTAGAGAAGGTTGACTGTATTCTATTTAAAAAATATATAGCAAATATTATATAAAAATTACATGACTAGTTACATATTAACAATTTATTAAATCAGGTAAATTTTGACTATGCAATATTTTTATCCTCCCTTGGTAAATGGTAAAAAGTCATCTTAATCGTTTTTATTTTCATTTGTGAACTTTGCTAATATTTCACACAGTGTCTTATTAAATTATTTAATAAAGCTTTCTGAAGATGGTATACAGTTATTAGCTTAAGTTTATTTCCAATTCTTCACATAGAGAATCTAGTATTTAATTAACAAAATAAGTTTCTTTATTAGTTAATAACTCCTTAAGGCATTCATGTTTATAAATTATATTTTTATAAAGAAAAAAATTTTTAAAGATGCTTTACATTTGTAAGAGCTCTAGCTTCAAGCCACTTAGTTAAATAATCAATCACTACTATAATGTACTTATTTTCTTTGTTCATCATAAGTAAAGGTCTAATGATATTCATCCTTACTCAATCAAAAGATTGTTCTATTTATATAGAATATAATGATTTAGTCCTTTTATTTTTATTTTTTCTTTAGAATTCATCACAAGTTTGAATATATCATCATATATCATCATATATTTGTAACCAATAATATCTGATTTTGATCCTTCTATAAATTTCTTCTAATACAAAATATTCTGCCAAAGAATCAGAATGCAAATTATATAATATAATATAAACTTTATTAAACTTAATAACTTTTAGAGATCGTTGAGATTCCTGTTTATTCTTTTTATAGAGTTATCCTTTTATCATAATAAAATATTTTGACTTTCTTTTAATTGCTACTTATTACTATTAGTTTAAATATATTGGCATTTTAAGTTCTGATAAATAGTGTATCTATGAAAAATATGTATTCAAATCT